ACTGCGTTGAACAATTCCATGTCATGAAAAAATATTTATTCTTCTTTAAATGCTATAGATACCAAAAATATGTCCCTGAAAAAACAACAGAAATTTGAGAAAGACATCAGGTTCTTACCAAGTATGCTGGATGTAACATGGAGGAGTTAGAAAACTTGGAACTTGGTAAATAGTACCTGTTAATGCTGTTTTCTTTCATTGCATTAAACGAATTCAAACCTGAAACTTATCTTCTTAGCATTATAATCTGATTCATCTTTTTAAATTCGTAGAGATTTCACTTCATTGCCACCTCTCTTGTTTCATCACTAATGTGGTAATCAACTAATCCATGTAACTAAATGTATTTTGCATCTACAATTAGGGAGGGAAGATATGATAAGTGCAAAAGAAAAAATCTGGCTATTTTAGACATTAAATAGTGTAAGAAGAAGGCATATTAATATATTTAATTGATCAAGAAATTAAGGTTTGATTTTGACTCTTATATATATATATGAGGCTCAGATCTCATACCCATGGAATTAATGTGAGGGAAAGAGTAAAATTAAAAATAGAAAAAAAAATAAGAAAAATGGGGGCTCATAAATCAAGAAAGACTATGATTACTTAAGGAGATTTCTATTGACATTTCTTTTGCTATTTATAATATTATTTTAATTTTTTTTAATATTCCTAAGATATCCCTCTATAAATAGATATAAATATCCTCCTCATCTTCCTCCTTTTTCTTTTTTTTTCTCATAATTATGAGTGACGATGAGCGGGCGATGGTGAGTGACATCGAACAACGTTGTAGAGAGTCCTCCATGCACCACGATTATTGACTTCGGAGGAGGGGAAGGGGATAGCCATGATAGGGCTTCCCCTCATTCCTCCCTCGCATGACCTATTACATTAGGTGTCACCTATGCCTCCTTCCCAAATTGTTTTGCTCTTCTGATTGAGTGATGATGAGGGGCAAAAACAGGATAGAAGTAGAGTGTGCAAACAAATATCAGAGCACGCTGAATATGAGTGACAGTGGAGCCCAAGAAGAAGAAAAAACCAGAAGAAAAAACTTGTCGCGAACCCGTCGCTTAGTTCACAGCTGATAGAGATGACCATGCAGAACCAATGTGGTCTCACAGCAAAGCATAAGCGACAAGGTGAAGATGACCATGACAAAATATAAGCAATAAGTGGGTGACAACAAGAGACATTTATAAAATTATAGAAAATAAAGAATACTATTTATAAAAAAATAAAAACAAGAGTATCTTAAAAAAAAAAAGCCCCAAAAAAGAGAGACTTTTTTAAGGAAATTATCTTAAGAACTTGGGGTGATAATAAATTGAAAATATCAATATAGATAGTTCAATTATCGGATTTTTTTTGGAGAAAAAGGTGAAGTTAATGGATTCGGTTATCGGGAGTGGTGTCAATAACATCGAAACCCGAATCCGATAAATTAGCGGGCACGGATCGAGGACCCGGATCCTCTGTAACCCCTTCGAGTCCTCCCGATCAAGAAGTGGAGAGAGGTGAATCACCGAAGCCCCCGATCGATCCCAATCGGAGAGAGGACGAGAGAGAGAGAGAGACTATTCAGAGGAGGAAGAGGAGGAGGAGATCGAAGCGTAGAAGAAGAAGAAGAAGAAGAAGAAGAAAAAGGGTCTTCCCATGGGGTTCATGATGACGACCATTGTATTCTTCGTGGCGGGCGTTGTCGCCTCTGTCCTCGTCCTCCTCTGCTGCAGCCGCGGCCCCTCCACCAATCTGTACGTCGTTGCTTCCGCTCCCACCTCTTCTTCCTCTATGTATTGTGATTCGATGAGCGTTTGGCACCGCAATCAGCTGAAACTATCTGTCCCGTTCAACTTTGCCTTTAAGCGATGCGAATCGGGTCCCTTATAACCCTCGGTTGGGACAATTAGACTTGGTTCGATTTCGGATCCTTTTGCTTGATATGGTGACATCGGGCATGTTATTGCTTTGCAAGTTTGATCTGCTTGGTCTCTGGTTTAGTTTCTTTGGGCAAAATCACATCTTTCTCTTGGAATGGTGCAAGTTTGATCTGCTTGGTCTCTGGTTTAGTTTCTTTCGGCAAAATCATATTTTTCTCTTGGAATGGTGCAAGTTTTGATCTGCTTGGTCTCTGGTTTAGTTTCTTTGGGCAAAATCATATCTTTCTCTTGGAATGGTGTGAATATTGTTAAAATTGTTTATTATTTTTGCTTTTGTTTTCTCTTTTACCAATGGTTTTCATGTTTACTTGCTTTAGAGGATTTGATCAAGTGTCTGTATCAATTATAACTAAAGTTGAATCATTCAACCATTCCTTGGTATTTCTAGAAAATTAATTATGATGTTTACCATTATGCTAATCTTTACTCTTAACTCTTTGCATATTTATTTGATTAGTTTCATATCTTTTTTTGTGCCAAATCATCTTCATTACAGAGAGTAGCTGACTGCACATCTAAGCCTAAGATCATAATCAGAAATTTGGACTACTTGTTTTAGGTCAATTATCAAGTTGACAAGTTTTTTTTGGGAGCTTACAGGTCATGTAAGCAAGCTTTAGTCTAGAACAGAAATTTGAGGCCTCAGATAAAGAAAATAAATCACTTGCATGTTCTGAGATTAAGCTACTAATATCACCAACAATAAGTATCTGCAACTCAGTCTAGATCTAATAATCCTAAATTGCACTCATAAGAAAGTTAAAATGAGTTCAAGTCTGCTATTTATCGATTTTTTCTTTGGTAATAGGAGCTCATTCTCACATTAGGGCCTTAAAATTCAATTCTGCTTATCATATATTCACTTGTTAAAAGCCTAAGGTCTGGAATTAAATACTTGGTGACTGCTAGTCCTGGATGGTGGATTATGACCGACATATGATTAGGGAATTTAGGGCAATTCAAGCATGACAGCTGATGTTTTTCTCTTTCATTTCTTTTCTATATTTGCATTTGTTAATACTCAGCTTCATGCCAAACATTTATTACGATTACTATTATTTATTATTTGGGTTACTGAAAATGTGAAATGATTTAGACAATTTTGTTGTGCAGGTTTCATTTAACATTGATCATTACAGCAACAGTTTGCTGTTGGATGATGTGAGTTCCCACATTTATCATTACTTTTATCTGGTGCATCATTCTATTATATGCATGATGATATTTGGCAATTCTCATATTATTTCACTTTCATGTTATCTAAGACAAGGTATGCATACCGGCTAACGATTTTATAATATATCCTAGTCTGCCAAGCTTTGGTTGTATGTAAGACATTATCAAGCCTTGTATTTTCGACTAATAAAAAGATCGATGAGCTCTACAAATATGCACAAAAAAAAAGATACAAGATGTGCCTGATGAGTTTAAAGGTGTATATTTCCTGCGAATAAACCTGTTGTCAAATATGGCCAAATCAAACATGTTCTGTTACAAAACTGACTATCTAAGAATAAGTTTGAATTTCTACTATCTGAGAAGCTAATATTACTAACTTAGAGGTTCTTTCTGTTCATTTTTCCTTTTCTTCTTATGGAAGTATAGGTCACTCAGAGAACATGTCTCATTCTCGAGTCTTGTGAGCAAATAGAATATGTCTGCTCAAGGAATTAGTTAGAAGGTCATTTATTCGATGTTATAAGCATATAATTGCCTATTGGGACAATTGCTAGTTTATCCTAGCCATATTGGTCTAAATTGCAGGGATGCATTTGGCAATAAGAACTTGCTTTGCAGACAACTTTTGCCCTTTAGTTCATCTCTGGACAATTGTTATATACATGTGATAAAATTACACCATGTCTTTCTGTAATAGGGTAAAAGATATCTGCACCCAAAAAATTTCAGAATATCTCACTTTATTATTTAAGAATCATTTTATAACTACAAAATCTTTGGATAGCTTAATTATGTTGCTCTTCATTTGGATTTAAGACACGGTCTACTACATAGCTAAAACGCTGGAAATATTTTGCCTTGTTCGTAATGCCTTAAGCTTCTTTGGGTTTTGCGTAATTATGCCTTATGCTTCTTTGGGTTTTGCGTAATGTTGTCTTTATGGAGTTGTTGGCACCTAGTGTTCTCCCAAAGTTGCTATATAATTTCTAAAAGTTGAGGTGAAACTGGATTAAACTTTTGGGACTTTTGGCATATGCATAGAAGATTCTGTTGAATCATGTCTTGGAATAATTTGTATTCAAGAACCAAATTTTGTGATATAGATGACTATTAATATTAGGTGGAAGATGTACTTATGACAATCTTAGGGAATCTAGGCAAAAGATTCTCATCTTCATAATTTTTGGGCATCTTCCTTTGCTGGGGAGGAATCTAGGCAAAAGTTTCTCATCTTTATAGTTTTGTCCTTGGTTTTCATCACACCTCCGTTCTAGTTGGTTGATATTTTATAAGTTCTAGTTGGTTGATATTTTATACTGTCATATCATAGTTGTAAGTTGTAGCTATTTTATGGTCGTCATTTAATGTATTCACATTTCCCTTCTTTTGAGCAATTCATCATTTGTTGGAGGCGTTTGAGGCTTTACTAGAGTGCCCATTATATCTTTCATACAAGCTAATGGCAGTTTAGTTTGCCCAAGTTGTTCTAGTGCTAATCAATTACTTTTCCACGGTGCAATTGCAAATAATGTATCTGTTGGTGCTATATATATTTACCAGTTTCTTTCCTGTCAGGTGGGCAATTGTCTATCTTGCGCAGCTAAAACCTCTGATTGTTCCAATCCTCAGTGAAGGGGAGTGACATGCTCACAAAACAATGATTCAAGTCATTTGCTATGACTTGAAATGTGTCCCATTCTTCAATGCAACTCAGCATCTTTTTGTAAGATTTTACTTCTTTAATCTCTGAACCTAGTTAAGGAAAACTTGAGATGTATCTTCTTGTATAACAATAATGTGCTTCTTATGCTTAATTCACTTCACACTGACTTGACGCCTCTGGTTACTTTGTGTGTTTTTTATTTGGTCGTTACCTGTAGATGTTTCCATTTGTTCCTTCTAACCTTACTGCATATGTAATCTGCTCAGAGTAAAAGTAATGTAAGAAAAGACAAAGTCCACGAAGAAATAAATGGTACCTTTCATAACAAAGTCACCTTTTGCAGTCGAGCACTTCTGCACCGTCTTCATACATATCACCCACTCTTTGTGCTTCTGCTTCAAAGGAATTAATATGCGACGCAATACCACACCGGGGTTCTCCTGTAGCTGATCCACAACGTCCAGCCTATAGTTTCCATGTATCCATTCTGTGCATTGCAAGTGTAGAGTTGTCACACAAACCAGTCATTAAAACAAGTTCTGGTCCAGAAATACCAAGTACACTAACAAGGAAAGTGACCTTCGATTGGAAATTGATTTCTAGTTCATCTTTGTCATCCTCGAGCTTTGCTAGCAAATCCTTCAACCCCAGTAGTTGCACTAATAATCTCTAATAGCATATCTGACTCAAACCTGGGAAAAGGTAATAAAAAGAAAGGATTTAACTGATACATCTTATCAGTTTCCAGAGAACGGAGAAATAAACAGTGAAGCTGGGGTTTGAATAGGAGATCAACTGACATATGTTATACACAGAAGGAAGCAGACTAAATAAACTGCTCTTCCAAGGAAATGGTGAAATAGCAACTAAAGTTTAATCAAGATAAGCCTGCCTGCCAGCCTGAAGCTACCTTTTAAATCTAAAAAAGGGTTGCAATCAAGATAACTGCTTTTAACCCTTGAACAAACTGCAAGCTGGAGATGGTAAATAATTGATATGGAATCAATACTTATCATCTTCTCATTTTAGTACCATTTTTTCATACTTGTTTCTTTGCCTGTCCTTAGAAGAATCCTTACATCCAGAAGTTTTGGATACCACAACATTATTCAGTACCGATGCATCCAGCTCAAGTCCGTTGCTTGCAGGAGGCATTTGATACTGCCATGAAGCAAACACAAAAATCAGCTAGAGTTTGGTAAACAGAATTATAATCACTATGCATAGAAAGCTAAAAATGGAACATCAGAAGGATACATTCTCAGGCAGGAAGCAGGAACAAAGGTACACTGCTGACAATTAGAAAGATCGAGCTCTAAATCTGCTTTGCTAGGATTTCATTCTTCATTGTCTGCAAACAAACTGTCTTTGTAAGAATCTCTAGCGATTAAAGAATACACAGTGCTTCAATTCCGGTGTCATGATTACTATAAGATAATTTCATTTATTGGCCTCTTTCTAGCTTCATATCCATGTCTTTCTCCTCTAGATACTTGGGTTCTATGGCCTTCAATTTACAGGGCACTAAGTAGAATAATAAACAGAACAGCATGCTAAAATTAAATGGATAATAACTCATGTCAAACATATAGCTATTACTGTAAGACAGCTGCATCAATATAATCATAACACAACGGCATGAAAGCTTATAGCACCAACATTTAGACATCATTCAGTTCTATCAAGGATAATACTAAAGCAAGACCAGTATTATAATATAGTGACTTAAAGGGTCCATCAACTACTTCAAAATATAAAAATAAACACATGGCCCACTTATGGCTCAATTTCTGTGGTTTATATGGACAAAGATTTAGTGAGTCGAACCTGTTCAGAATTTGTGTAAAATGCCACTAGGCCAATCTGTGATCAAAATGCCAACTTAGGCAGAAGCATTAACTAGAAAGGTTAACAAGTATTTTGGCTATTGTGTTGAAGATTAGTTTGTGTTTCCAAGAAGCTTTATAAAATATAAACTATGCCAAGGGATGCAAGAAAGTTAATGTTACACTATGGGCCATATACTTTATCTGTCCCTGCCTAGATTTATCTCCTTTCATGCATTTAAAATTCTTGATACCTCCCATATATTCATGTGGCTCGTAATGATAGTGTTGACAAATCTGTGACAAATTTTTCCCTGCTTCTACAATCCCTATTTCCCACTTTCATTCTCAAGATGATTCCTCTGCCTGTCCTGGTCTACTCAGGCAGACCAATATCACCAGCAGCAACCAAATTAAACATAACCTCTAGAAAATGGAATTAGTGACACTATGTACAGATTGTACTTGAACCTGATAGAATTGCTTAAAACCTTGTAAAGACAGTTTACTTTTACTATCAGATACGTGATGAGGCCACCTATTGTTCTTAACTGAAAATAATTTGTATAGGGGCCAGATACCAATTTGTGCTATTTACATTGCCTTGTACCGATTCCAATACATTAAATAATAGATGAGAAAAGTTGCCAAATTTATCTTCGAGCTGGAGCATGCTTATTTACCTTCGTTCTGGTACCCTAAAGATCTACAAGACGATGTCTGATGAATAGACTCTGCTCCATGTCCAGCAGGTAAGAGAGACTTTAACGCTGAAAGCAAATCATCATGGTGCCAAGTAATATGGACAGCTGGAAACTTCAAGTCAAGATATATCCAAAAATAAATACTCGCACAATCAAGCTTATACAAACAAAAAAAAAAGAAAACCTAAAACCTCTTGCTAAACGTCATCAATGAACATGCAATTAGTCCTATGGATTTTCAGGATGTCCAAAATCGAACAGTACTTGTCAGGTTCATCTGAAAAACGATTCTGCAGGAAAGAAAAGAAAAGTTAAGCACGTTATACTAGAAACTATTAATGCCAACAGAATAAGTAAATAGCTAATATCCACATGCATGCACACAGACATGCGTGCACACAGGCACACCAACATAAGAGAGATCAATTTTAAGGTATAATAATTGCCATTATTCCTTTGATATAATTCAGACAAAGTTGGCGTGATGGCATCATTTTGGTGAGGGCAAAATTGCGGAACTGCACAACCAAGTCAGGATGCACTTTAAGTAGTTCTCTACCCTTCTGCTAGCCTCAATTGGAGTGATACTATAGGGCATAGAGAAACAATACACCTCAACCCAAACATTCTCACAACGAACATATAAAGCATAAATGCAAATTCTCAAGCAGTAGTAAACCAAGATAAATGTAACCAGACCTTGAAATCTCTAAACTCTTCATGATATCAAGGAATTGATCATGTGTATGTGCTTCATTGTGAAGTGCCCTTTTGACTATAGCCAGGAACTCTCTGGCATCACCCCTTCCTGGCTTAGAATCACTATGACTGGACCTTCAACTCAATAAAGAAAACAATAAAGATGAAATTATGCCCCCAAATCGAAGTACTAATACATGGAATTATAGAACAGCAAGAACACGATCTATAGCATGTCATAGCGAGCGATCATCTGCAGTACACAAAACAACGAAAGATTCCATTGAGAAGCATAGAAGAAGAGAACGTGTGGAGATAAACAGAAAAGGGTGAACTTCAAGAAAACGGTAAGGGATAGTGAAACATGATCAGGGAGCTCACGATGCGCCTCTAGATTGCTTAGGCCACATCGAACTGGATGCATTGTCGTCATCTCGAGGCCTCGTCCTCATGCTTTTCACCCAAGATAATCCAAGAAAATAACCAAGAAATCCTAGAAGCCGGTCAGCCTTCTCTTTCGTTGTCGGCCGGGAAACCAATGAAGGGTCTCACCACGCCCAAAGATTCAACATATTTACATCTAAATCCACCAACGGAAGAAATCGAGAGAGAGAGAGAGAGAGAGAGGCGGAAGAGACAAGGGCGAAGATGACTACGAGGAGTCGCTTCGGCCTCTCCACCTCTCTCTCCGTTACTACTCCAATCGTTTCGGGTGGTGAGAACGCGGAGCTCCCATTTAAGCCTTTGAAGTCCCGACGAAAAAGTGTAACGGCTTTCCTCGAACAGGCGTTCACGGTCATGCCACCAATCGGGAGGATGGACCTGTGACACGACTGGAGTTACGACTTCTGGAGCAATACCACTGGAGCTGTCGTTGCAGAGTCTTATGGTCGCATGAAGACGAAAACTATGGCTCTTCAGTTCATATCGAATTGAGCTACACAAACCAATCTTCCTCGACTGCACGATTCAGCACTTGCATTAGAGGTTGGGCACCCCTCGAGTCTCATTGGCTTCCTTATCCTTGGGTAGTCCTGAGTAATCCTCAATATATTTTCATCATCTACTTCTGACGTTTCAGTTACTGTTTCTGTAAGGAATCATAGTGCTTCTCCGTATACAGAACTTATTTCTATCAATGTTACCATACTAATCCCCTTCAAGTAACTACGCATCTTAGCGAGCCCAATTTACCAATATTCTATTTGGATATGACCTACTAGGCTACGTTGATGGCTCTCTCAATTATCCACCAGCAATAATTAATATCCCCGGAGAACCCAGTCCAGTACTATATCTAGCTCACAAACTATGGTTATGTTAAAGATCGTTTCATCCTCCAAGCTATTCAAACCTCAGTTGTTGGATTCGTCGCTCCATTGATATTTTCATGTGTGACTACTACAGAAGCATGATACAAGCTACAAACAACCTTGGCAAATCGCTCGTGTACTTGTATGCTCACTCTTCTATTCAATCTAATGAAAATAAAATAAGAGGAAAATACTATTGCTGATTATCTGCAAAATATCAAAGTTATCATGGATGACTTAGCTTTGATAGGTCATTCCTTCTGTGATAAAGAAATCATAATTCATACCCTGATGGTCTCGAAGACAAGTATAAGGAATTAGTAGTCGTAGTTTGGGCACGCGACTCACCAATATCATTCAAAGAACTCTATGATAAGTTGACTGACTATGAGACGTATTTGAAGCGCGAGGACAAGTTACCTGGACCAACCATCACAGCTAAAGTCAATCAAAAATCCAAAAGAAAAGCCAACTAATACAATAAGAACGTCAACAACGATTTGGCCAAGATGTCTCTTGACCCTATGGGTCCCAGACAAACCCCTCATTATCCACATCATCAACATTTCTATCAAGGTGGTAACTCCAATAACCATCAGCCCTAACGTCCTGCCTTCACAAGCCAACAAAGAGTCATTTGGTAGCTATGTGATAAAGTCGGACACTCCACAAAAGTCTATCGGTCTCAACTCAAACTTCCTGCTCCATCACAGTGGTCTCAAGCAAATGTCATGACTACTTTGGCTACTAGTCAACCCAATTGGATTGTAAACTTTGGTGCCTCTCATTACATCACCTCTGATCTTCAGAACTTATTTATCCATAATAACTATAGTGAAAATGAAGATATCATCATTGGTGACAGTAAAGAAATTCTTATTACTCATATTGGTTCCACAATGCTTAATTCTGATATCATAACTTTTACACTCGATAATGTTCTATGTGTACCTCATATTAAATGAAACCTCATTTCCATTTCTCAATTCTGCAAATACAATAATACTTCAATTGAATTCTTTCATGACTCTTTTTTTGTTAAGTATTTGAACACGACATCCTTGTCTAAAGCCAAAATAGAGACAACATCTACGAATGGCCTGTTAGCTCCACAAATAACTCAACCCACTGTTCATTCTTCAGTTACAACTCCAATTGATGTGTAGTATCATCGTCTTGGCCATCTCTCATCCCTTATCCAGAAGAAATTACTTTCTTATTACTCTTTCTTATTTTTAAATCAAGTAGCTTTATAACTCATTGTGATGCATGTCTTAGCAATAAAAGTCATAGGCAACCCTTTAGAACATCCACCATATAATGCTCTAAACTATTTAAAATTATTTATACCAATGTTTGGGGCCCTACTGCAATTATTTCTTTTAACAAATTCAGATTTTTTATTATTTTTATAGATTTTTCACTAAGTATACATTGTTATATTCTTTTCACCATAGATTTAAAATTTTCATAATCTTTGCCAACTTTAGAAAGTTGGTCGAGAACTACTTTCATCTATAATCAAAATAGTTCTCTAATGATGTAGGTGAATATTAAGCCCTGACATCTTGTCTCTCAACTTATGGTATATAACACCTCAAGTCACCCTCACATACTCCTCAATTAGTTAGCTTTGTCGAACATAAATATCAGCATATAGTTGAAACTAGTCTCACACTTCTATATTAGGCCTCTATGCCTTCAAACTTTTGGACATCAACCTTTCAAACTGCATCCTACCTTATTAATCGTATGCTTACGTCAATCCTATAATATCAGTCCCCATTTGAAACACTACTTCATAAACCTCCAAACCTTCATAAACTCAAAGTATTTAGTTGTCTATGTTATCCATAGTTACGTCACTATGCCTCCCATAAGATAACATTAAGAACTAAGCCTTGCGTCTTCATAGGATACTCTCTTAAACATAACGCTTTCTGATGCTATAACCCTCAAACTCAAAAAGTCTTTATATCACGTCACGTTATTTTTATGGAGTCTATCTTTCCTTTCCAAAACCATGAGTCTCCTATTATGCAAACCACTCCGACAAACATTCATCACTGAAGTATACCTCTGATCTTATCGGATGAGCCTCCCATGACACCGTCCAATTCCTTCTCTCAAGATCCACACTCTACTGCTACTCCAATTTAGCAACTGCCCATTCCCTTGTCTACTCCATTCTTCTCAAGTTTTCCTTATTGATAAGGCAATACATTCAGAAACACAACCATTGCCTTTACCTCCTTCTAGATCTAGTGACACTAAAGTACCTCAGCTTGACCCGACCCGTGTTAGTGATCTCCACTACCTATACTAACAACACAACCTTACAATCCTATATCCTCTATATATCTAATGACAACACGCTCCAAGAGGGTATTTTCAAACTACGTCAGGTCTTTAACCTATATGCTATCACAGAATCCTCACCTAAGACCATTGAACCCAACATATTCACTTAAGCCCAAAAATCTTCACACTAGCATAAAGCCATGTGTGAAGAATATGATGCCCTTATTTATAACTCAACATGGAATCTAGTACCCTTTCATCACACAAAACATCATCGGGTGTAAGTGGGTCTTTCGAATTAAGCAGAACCTAGATAGATCCGTTGTCAGATAAAATGTACGTCTAGTCACCAAAGGGTTTCATCAACGACTTGGTGTTGATTTCATTAAGACATTTAGTCCCGTTGTTAAACCCATAACAATACGACTTCTCCTGAGTTTGGCTTTTTATCCTCAGTATCCAAGGCATGTTTGCAAACTACAAAAAACTATTTATAGACTTCTTCAAGCTTCAAGAGCCTAGTACACTGAACTTGGCTCGTCTTTTACTTCAATTGACTTTATCAACTCTAAGTTGGATACCTCGTTATTTCTACGATAACAAAATGAATGCATAATATATCTTCTGATGTATATGAATGACATTATTGTCATGGGCAATAATCCTACAGAGATCCAGGCATTCATCAAGCAATTGACAAATCGATTTTCCCTTAAAAATCTAGGAACCTTGAGCTACTTTTTGGGAGTGGAAGCAACATATACATCTTCAAGTCTCTTCCTATCACAAACAAAATATATTCAAGATTTATTATCAAAGACAAACATGCATGACACAAAAGATGTTACAACTCCCCTCTCTACTAGTGAATCACTCAAATTATATGATGAAAGTCCTACTACGGAACCTACTTAATAATGATAAGTAGTTGGCTCTTTATAGTACTTAGCTCTCACCCGTTCAAACATCTCATTTGCGGTCAATAAATTATCATAATTTATTCATCGACCATCTATTACGTATTGATCTGCAATCAAATAAATCCTGCGATATATTAAAGGGACTTTCAATCATAGTCTCTTTCTCCGCAAACACTCTCCACTTAATCTCCATGCCTTTGTCGCTGCTGATTGGACAGAAAACTTTGATGATAGAACATCCACATCTGGGTATGTTATCTTCCTTGAGGCTAATCCAATCAGTTGGAGTTCTAAGAAACAAAAGACAATCGCACGATCTACAACTAAAATTGAATACTATGTCATTGCCACCACTACTATATAACTCAATTGGATCACAAATCTATTCAAAGAACTTAATATCGATTCTAACCTTACTTCTACAATATATTGTGATAATGTCAGAGCTACATACATATACGTCAATCTAGTATTCCACTCCCTGTATGAAACATATTATCATCGACTTCCACTTTATGCAAGATTAAATTGTCCGATATCAATAATGTGTTTCTCACGTACATACGGTTAATCAACTAACATACTCACTTACGAAATTTCTCGCTTATAAACTATTTTCATTGCATCAATCTAAGATCGATATCCTTGATAGGAGAATCATCTTACGAGAGTATGATAACAGATAAAATTTTTCTAACTGCACAAGAAAATTTTTTATTGCTTTGTTATGCTTTGTTAAGAAAAATCCCCGGTCCTAACCTAACATGTATAAATATAGACAACGTATCAATATCTTGTATCTATATATCTTCTATCTTCTGCCTTATGCATGTCCTGCGTCCAACGTCACAAGCTCCTCCGCCGTCCACTCTGCGTACTTCACGACCCCACCGCTGCAGCACGTCTACTAGCCCGGTATGGCTGCAAGCATGCAGAACCCCCATGTACGTGACATGATCGGGCACGATGCCACGGCGTAGCATCTCGTCGAACAGCCGCAGCGCCTCCGCACCGTGGCCGTGTGACGCGAGCGCCGTTATCATGGCCGCTCAAGAATGCGGGTCATTGTGGGGTATTTCGTCGAACACCCGCCTCGCGGACTCCAAGCGGCCGCACCTGGAGGACATGGTTAAGAGCGCGGTGCCAAGGGCGGTGGCTGAGGAGGACGAGGGCATCGCGGTGGGCGAGATCGCCGTCGGTAATGGCGCCGAGGTAGGCGGCGGAGGAGAGTGCGGAGACGAGGGCGGCCTCGGTGGGTGGCACGCCGGCGCGGCGCGTGCGGCGGAGGGTGGCGAGGGCGTCGGGGTGGCGGCCAGAGGCGGCGTAGGCGGAGATGAGGTCGGCGAAGGAGACCGGGATGGTGTCGAAGGCGTCGCGTGCGGCGTCGGGGAGGCCGCAACGGGCGAGGGCGGAGACGAGGGCGGTGCGGAGGACCACGTCCGGGTGAGGCCCGGCGAGGCGGACGAACAGGGCAGCGGGGGAGCGACGGCCGGAAGAGGAGTAAGCGGCGATGAGGGCCGAGCGGAGAAAGGGGTCGGCGTGGAGGCCGAGGACGGTGAGGCGGGCGTGGAGGAGGGCAGGAGCAGCGGCGGCGGCTGACGCTGCGCGGAGAAGGAAGGTGAAGGTGAACTTGTTGGGACGGGCGCCGGAGGGGAGCATGGAGTAGGCGTACAGAGATAGGACGTCGAGCGGCGGGGATCGCCGGAGGAGAGCGTTCCACTCAACGTGGACCGTTCAGATCGAATCGGACGGTCAGCAGATGCTGCAGCCGATTCTGCTCGTGTGACACGCATTCTGAGTTTTGAAGGAGCTGACGTTGCAACGGGGCAAGCTTATTATACGATATAAAAGTAAATATACATATCTGCAAAAAAAATGTTCGATCAATATATAAATGAAAACAAAACGAAAAGAGCTTTAGTGAACCCAAAAAAATAATTTTCTTCTAAAAAATTCCATTTAATAGAGTCGACGGTTGACTAAAAATGATCGTTTGACCAGGTCAGCGAAGAGGGAAAAGGTCAACATTCATGAAATGAAAGAGAATCTGCGTTGTCTTAGCAACAGTCTTCACGACTAATCGGAACGTTACTTGCACGACACTCTCATCACACCCTAGAAAATAATAATAATAATTATTATTATTATTATTATTATTATTATTATTAATGGAGCACTTGCCAACCAACCAACTAATTCCTTAAAATAAGAAAAAGTCTTCTCCCAACCTCAGACCTTTAACCACCACCTCAGCTTCTTCTTCTCCTCCCCTCATCTCCTCTTCTCTCCTCTCTCTCTCTCTTTCTCTCTCTACGGACAATTTCCATCTGATCCATCTCCATCTACGGCATCACAATCTTCCGCATCTCTATCATCGTCATCTTCCCTCTCTGCGTTTATGGGCGGTCGTCGGCTGCAGGGCGAGCAGCTGAAGCAGCTGCGGGACATCTTCAACCGCTTCGACATGGACGGCGACGGCAGCATCACTCACCTGGAGCTCGCCGCACTGCTGCGCTCCCTCGGTTTGAAACCCACGGGCGACCAGATCCACGCGCTCCTCTCCGGCATGGACGCCAACCGCAACGGCTCCATCGAGTTCGACGAGCTCGCCGTCGCGCTCGCGCCCCTCATGAGCGAACAGGCCCTTCTCAACCAGGAGCAGCTCCTGGACGTGTTCCGCTCCTTCGACCGGGACGGCAATGGCTACATCTCCGCGGCGGAGCTGGCGCGGTCCATGGCGCGCATGGGCCAACCGCTGACCTTCTGCGAGCTCACCGAGATGATGCGGCAGGCCGACACCGACGGCGACGGCGTCATCAGCTTCACGGAGTTCGCGGCCGTCATGGCCAAGTCCGCCGTGGAATTCCTTGGCCTCACGGTAGTGTCATAGGAGAACACAGGCCCCTTCCGGGCGCCCGGCGACGGGGAGCGCTGAGTCGGTTGACCGGGCTCATGTTTCTTGGTTGACCCGGTCAACGGAGGACCCCGGGAACTGTTTGCGTAGGATTTCTGTCGATGCATGGTAACCAAGGTTGTAAATGTATAGAATGTGACGATGGATGAAAGTTAGGATTACATGATCATTTAGGAGAGATTATTTCGTTCAGGAAACGTGAATTATTTCCTCTGTTTTCCTGCATGCATGTGTTTGTGTTCGTCAAGTCAACGTGGAACTTTCGTGTGGTTCTTCTCGATCGCTGCAGAAGATGGAAGGAAACTTTATGCATGCACTGCATCAAGTCATGTTATCTCTTTGGAGCTTCCATGTAGGATTATCTTCTGTAGAACATATTTGGCATTGAATCGTGTACGTGTGTCACTGATCAAACACGTTCGGGTGCTTGATTCCGACAGATGAATCGATCAATTATTATTCGATATGTGACCAAGCTAATACATGGGAGATAAGATCTGCAAATATAAAGTAATCGATTATGAGCTAATTTTCTCTTTTTTTTTGTCGTGTATATGGATAAGAGTTTGAGAAAGACTATTAAAGAGCGTGCCTTAGCCAATATTTTTAAAATATTTTACTCCCTTTTTATCCGGTATAAAAAAACCTACCTTTGACATAAGATTTGAGATTATACATCTTTTTTTTATCATTTTCACTTCTACCTTATCTCGGGGCTAAGCATTGAATCAAAAAATTCATTCTTGACCTAGGTCTTTGTGTCGATTATCATCGAAGAACTTGAGCGCACCCACATTGACTTCTATGAGATCTTTAGCATCACTTTGGAAGCACTTCATCGTTCTTGTATATGTATAGTCGAACCACATCAAACTGACTTGAAGTCAACACTATTTTTCTTTAACATTTTAACACAAGGATCATGTCATAAGAATGCCAGCTTGTTGACTCATAGTACCTTCACTCACAAGAGATGGTAGTTGACGTTTTTAAATCTCGACACTTCTACCTTAGCACAAACTCTAATAAGATACTATCATATATTCAACAACCTAAGCATCTCTTCGTTAATGACAACCCCGACCTATATAGTTGTCTTTGTCGAGGTCTTCCTGAACCTTACTCAACAAGTACAGATGTTAACAGGAATGATACAAATGGTCACCCCACTCCTACCTCGGTTGGTCCAATTGAAAGTGCCTCCAACCGCAACGTAATTTATAGTACTACTAACACGTATTGAGATTCCTTGACCTGACGTGATATCGTCCCCCAAGAATGCTCGAGGCATGTCGAGCTCCCAATAAAGGAGGCACCCCGATCCCCAACTATAGAGTTCAACGAACCTCACCATTCTCGGTTTGTCTTACTCAAGTTTGAGACATAGTTCGTAGACTACATAGAGGACATCCTTCAGGTGCAATTTCAGTAGATGGACCTAGAGGACATGTGTCGAGAGTTTGAGCTATCTAAGAGAGAAGACTTGACCAACCTCAACTCGAGTCAGTCACCATTAATTCAAAAGATCCAAGCAAAGCCTATCTCTATTAACTTCTGACTCTTAACCTTTGAGGTATTTGATGGTTGTGCCAATCCAAATAAGCACATCGTAGCTTTTCATGCTCAGGTGTCCTTATATGGCACGACGAACACTCTAATGTGCCACACCTTCCCTACCACTTTATAAGGCATAGCACATGAGTGGTATGCCCACTTGAAGCTACTCTCATTTAGCTCATTCGGTCAATTAGAAAAAGAGTTTGAGAAATATTTGTTAGGAATGAGTCGGCACTAAGAGGAGGGGTGAATTAGTACAGCGATAAAAACATCGATTTCGAAAAATATTCATTTGTTGAAAATAGATAAGAAAGATGTTAACTTAAAAACACTTACGTAAGCGTGTAATGAGGAAGTAGAGCAGTGAGCAAATAAAATGATTTGCAGCAAAGGTAAACAACAAAGTAAAAGGCAGCAAATCAATTTTATAGTGGTTCGATCGTCGTGACCTACATCTACTCCCGATTCCTCTTCATTCGAGGCCACTGGCTTCTGCTACTAGTCTTTCTTCAATGGGCGAAGACCAACTACCCTTTTACACCTATCTTCTCATTTTCACAGGTTTAGGATATAACCTTTTACAAATACTCACTCATCTCTAAACAGAATTCTAAACTTAGAATTATAGGAGGGGATCTCTCAAGTGATTACTACAACGTTTTTCCACTTTTCAATTCTCTGTGCTTATGTATATTAACCAGGGATGAGAGGGGTATTTATAGGCCTCAAGTGGATTTAAACTTGGAGCTTAAAAGTGTCTCATCCCTGATTTTCGAGGTACTGACAGTACCACCGCTTGTGCTGGGTGGTACCACCGCCTACAGCATTGACATTGGATGGTACCACCACCTGTAGCACTGACATTAGACGGTACCATCGCCTGACACCCTGCCACTAGGTGGTACCATCTTCTAGTCTGGCGGTACCACCGCCTAGACTGGCAGTACCACCATCTAACATAGTCTCGGAGACTGTGCCACAACAGTGTCACTTATTGGGTCACTGTTTGAGCCTTTCACTTGGCCCAACACAATTAAAACTTAGGCCCAATTGGCCCCTAATTGAGTTGGCCCAATTCCAACTCAATTATGTGCTAACTACAAATTTTAAGGCATACACTAAGCTAAATAAGTCTAGTAAGTCTACGTTTCTTCTAGCGAGCTTTCGGCGAACTTCCGACGATCTCTCGATAATGTTATAATATATTCCCAACAAGCTCCTAGACTTCACGATGATCTTCTTGGCGAGTTTGGACGAGCTTCTTTGGTAAACTCCTGAACTTCTCGGTTAGTTCCGGTAGAACTTCCGACGAACTTCCGACGAACTCTCGAACTCCCAACACAATCTCGTTCTTAACTCCGGGACTTCATTTTGCTTTATGCCTTGATCGCTATCGTAGTTAATCCCGCATATTTAAAACCTACTTCGATCTAGACAATTATTATAAATCTTAAATCAAATGTTATCCGACGTGTCATTGATTCATTGACGCTTCGTTCGATTCTTCGGCGCATCATCCTCTCTTGCGGCCTATTGCTCAATTGACCAGTTGACCTCTACAACTTTGATTTCCTTGGTGTAATTTTTGCTCTTCTTGGCCCGATGCTCGAACCCATGGCCCGAAGTCTTTTGTTGATATATTGACCGATCCTTCAGCTCGACGTCTAATCTTTTAACATGTTTTTCTCTGACACAACATGATTCTTCCTGCTTTAATTGTCTCTCCCTGATCATAGCTTCGTGCGCCACTTAAAATGTAAATCAAATCATAAACACTATCAATTGGTTTCATCATCAAAATATGTGATTCAACAATCTCCTCCTTTTTTATAATGACAACTAATTGATGACGGAGTTAATCTTAACTCCCTCTATCAATATGACATATGTGAGATGAACCTTGAATTCAAACTGAATTCAAGTCAAAATAAATTTAATTTAATCATGAATATTTGTAACATGTTATCATAAATTCATACATAATCAAATTTGTAATACATCATTCCATACATGAATGTCATTATAACTTCTTCCCCTTTGTCATCAACAAAAAGGAGAAGTGCAACTATTAAGTGTTTAGACATAATTTCAAATCAATGTATAATAAACATAATCTCAAGTTTTATCATCATGCAAGCTAGTAATTTTCTTTCTTCTCTCTTGAGAAGTGCAATTTTTTGCTTCATTTGCAAAGTGCAAGCTAGCAAAATTTTACATCATTTTACAAGCAAGCTAGCAACTTTTTGAGATATTCATGCATCATTAGTATTGCCTCTCTTGAGATGTGCAAGATAGCACTTTTGTTTCATAGCAAGTTTTTCTGCTTACAGTTTATAAGCTAGCAAATTTAGCAAGTGTTACATCATATTACAACATGCTAGTTAGCAAATTTTATATCATTTTAGAGCATGCAAGCTAGCAACAATTTTGAGTTTTGTAAATTTTGCTAGATGTGCAAGTTAGCATGTTTTGCTTCTTGAGATATAGCACTTTTGCTTCTCTTAAGATTGCAAACTAGCAATTTTTGATGATGTTCAAGATAACAAGTTCTACATCATGTAAGCTAGTGAATTTTATAATATTTTAAAACATATAAGCTAGTAAATTTTATAATATTTTAGAAAATATAAGCTAATAAAATTTGAGATGTTCAAAAAAGCAACTTTTGAAATATGCAAGTTAGTAATCTTTGCTTCTCTTTTGAGATGAGCAAGCTAGCATGTTTTTGTATTTTCTTGAATTGTGCAAGTTAGCAAATCTTTCTCTTTTGAGATGTGAACACTAGCAATTCTTTCTCCCCCTTGATAATTGGCAAAAGGAGGGAAATAATAAAATAATTATGTAATTAATTTTTTTTATATTAATTTTTGAATTATGACAAAGATAATATGTCATTCTTTATAGAATATTGAAATAATGTATCATTTCAAAAAATGATAATTGTTGACTTTCACTTCATTTCAAAATCATAAGTATTCCATGCATCATTCCAAATCATAAATATTTTAAATCATGATGGTATCAAAATATCAAATTACATTATATTCTACCATGCATGATCATAACTTCTCATTTATTAGCATCAACATAATATCATAAGTATTTCATGATTTCATATTATTACATGAAGAATATCAAGAAAAAACTTGGTGATGAGATATACTTTATGAATACAATGAATTTTACATAATAAAGCTCAAGTCATAAACCTTAAAAGCTCAAGTGACATATCATGGTTAATTTGGATAAATGTCCTCTTTAGTAAACAATAAAAGAGTTATAGGAGAACAAATAAATGATATTGATTCATGCATAAGAATTTTCAAGTTATAAAAAAAATAATTATGATTTGTTTAGATGAATGTTCTCTTAAAAGAGTGAATCATACGAGAATAAAAAAAATACATCTCAAGTCGTAAACATCGATAAATGATTCGATTGGATATATCATCTTATTATTAAAATGAATCATATGAAAAGAAATCCAAAATCATCATGTAAAATCATCAAATATGATACAAACATTTACTTTCATAATGTCCATCATTATTTTTAAATATTTTAATTTATCAAATTATTAAAATCATTTTCATAGTCCAAGAGATTCATACAAATAAATCTATCAATCTATTTTT